CCTGGCTCCCTTCCAGCAAGTCCCAGTTCCTAACGCAATGGTGAAAGGTTGGAAGGCACAGCACACAGGCTCCAGGTTGAACCCCAGCTCCCAACTTACCACTGTGTGATCCTGGGTGAGTCTCTCAGGCTCTGTGGGATAGCTGTCAGCTGGGGAAAACTGGATTTACTTTGTAGGATGTACTTTACATGGTACAAAACCTCAAACCTCCTATAACCTCCACAGCCATGTGTGAATAAGAGGCTTAGAAATGACCAAAGTTATGAAAATGCCCCATCCAGGCATCTTCCACTTCCAGAACTGGACTAGGTGACTGTCCCATGAGCTAGCTCCAAAGTTTCCCCTCTTTCCTCTCAGTGGGTCACCTTGAGGATGTCCTTGAGGCCTACAGATCTCAGTCAGACTAACACTGCCTGGACTTTTCTTGCAGGGGGGGACAGCCTGAGGGGTGGGGTGTGAAAAAAGAGATGGACTGAGGGAGACTTGGACCCAGTGGACACAAGAGAAAGGTTACACTTCCCTCCTCCATTCTCTCAGCAAAGTGCCTAGCTGGCTACTGTTAGGACCTTCCCCCGGATTACTGAGAACAAGAATCTCCATGGTGCCAGGATTGTCTAAGATGCTCCCCAGATTAAGAGACACTGGGCCAGTGGTTCTTCCCAAGTAGACACAGCCCTATTTCTGCTGCCTTACTATGGGTTACTGCATAGCAAGGCATAGACCCCTTCTGACCATGCCTGGACCTCCTTTGTTCCTGCCCTCCCACTGCTTTTGGCTGGCTGGGTTCTCCCCTGTCATCACCAGTCAGTGTGACATCAAGGAAACACTCCATTAGAACTTCTGCCAAGGTAAAACCTTCACTCTGCTACTCTTCAGACACAAGGTTCACAGTCAATAAGAAGTCAGAAAATCATGTGCCTAACCTTTTGATATTTCATCCTTTCAGCAAATTTACTGAACACTTGCTTTGCTCAGGTGCAGTACAAAGTCACAGTGTTAAAACTGAGTGAAGGACATCCTTTGCTTCTGGGGTTTTAAGCCTAATTATAGGAAGACACAAGGCTGGCACCCAGAGGGTGCTCAGACATCTGTGCCCTTGAAGAAAGGAGGAATAAAGGCTTTGAAAGAGGCATTGACTGCAAGAGCTCAGTGAGAGTAGTTCTGGAGCCTAGTGAAGAGTTGGGCCTTTGTGGCCAGGGGTTGGGACTCAAACTCCATCAACCCCACTCACTAGCCATGTGCACCCAGGAGCAAGTCACATCAGCACTTTGTCCTTGGTTTCAATGTCTGAGCAATAAGGATGACAATTGCACTTAGGCTGATGCAGGGATGAAGTGAAGGATTCCATGTGCAACTTGTTCTCAGCCAGGCTCAATAACACTGTTGGGGTCATCTGTGGTAGGTCTGAGAGAAGGGTTCAAGTGTGGCTTCCCAGGAAGGCTGGCCCAAACTTTCTTCAGTGTCCAGGTCTGGATGAGCCTACTCAGGAGCCTTGATATAAGCTTTTGAGCCTTGATATAAGCTTACTGAGGGCTACAGAGCATTTTTTCACCTGAAACAAAGCCTCAGACAATCAGGAGAGGCCCAGATTGTGGTCAGCAGTCAGACTGTACCCCTCAGTGTGGAATTCCACCCCCATAACTGGCCTACCCCCTTTTTATGCTGACCTTTCCTGTAGAAATAATGTTATAGGCTGCCTATGGCATCCCATCTTTCATGTCTCACTACAGTGTGTCTGCAAGGTGGGGTCTAATCAAAGAGAACCTTGAGGGGCAGTCTGTCACTACACCTCGTGTCCCAACACTGGCCAGAACAGATGTCTCTCCTTCCTGAGGACATGGGTCATCTTTTCCCTCCACTATTCTGAATGTTTGGTGTCTTGAATGTGTTGTGGCTTTTGGGAGATTGGGAATGAGAGAGGTTCTGCCCCATTTAAAGCTAAGTTTTCCTGAAGGGGGGAGGTGAAGATGCTGATGATGCAAGAGGGAGCAAGTGAAAGAGATGTGGAGAATCAGTCAGTTCTTCCCAAACATTTTGCCATTCACAGTTCCCATTAGAGAGTGCAAGTTATTGTGCAAGAGAGGAAATTTTTGTTTTTATGGGATGATTTTTGACAGAGAATTCACCAACACCTGTTGGCCAGGGGCAGGTGGCTGGGTTGCACAGTAACACATGGAATCTGTTTGTTCAAGGCTCTTGCTGAGGTGGAGCTGGTCTTGCTTCTTATTCCCACAGAAAAGTCCTTTGAAGCTCTCAGTACATCATGACTGCTTGTTCTGGGGGCAGAGAGCAGGCTGGGGTGGGGCCAGAGGGCCCTCCTAACCTTGTCTGTGGCCCTGAGTCTTGCCTGTCTTCAACTCTTAGTGTCCCACCCCTGGGTCTCAGATTCCACACTCACCCATTAATTATTCTTAACCTCTACGCAGACTTATTGGCTCCTCTACTTCCTATTCACAACTTGGATGTTTCCTTCCCATCAGTTTCAAGCATGAGCTCCTCTTTGGCATGCTGGGTATAGCCACTTCACAGCCAACCCTGGGACGAGACTCTTCATTTTCTTGTGGGAAATCAGTGAGGCACATTTTGAGAGCGCTGGCAGCTTCCCAGCTTCCCTTGGTCTTAGGCTGCCAGTACCTGGTCTGGTTGAGCTAGTGGGTTCTGCCTCCACAATAAAATACCCTGCCCCACTTGCCTGAGTCCTGACAACCCATCTCCCCCAACACAGTTCTCATATCAGGGACAAAAGATAAAGATTTTAGTCTTAGGTTCTCCAGAATATGGCCACAAAGATGCAGCTCCTGGTGACTATAAGGCCATTCCTGCACTTGGATCTCCATCTCGGCTGGCCTGGGGGTCCCCACTTCTGGCTGGTCAAAGAAAAGGCTTCTGTGGGCCAGGGAGCTGCAGCAGCCTTCCGGGGTACTTTCATAGGAAACCCTCTCACACTGGCTACTAGAAGTGAGGCTCATGAGTCCTGACAGGAGGCCCCAGGGGCTCAGCCAGGCAGCAGGGCCAAGGGAAACTACAAGTCTTGCTGACCCCTATGTGACACCTGCTCCCTGGCTCTCAAACTGAGCTACTCCTCCACAGAGTAGCTGTGAGGGGCTGTTCCTCCACAGAAGCACAGGCCTGGGTATCCAGCCTGGTAGGCTCCACCCTGAGCTGGCTTATGTCCATGAAAAGACCCGGGCACTTCTGATCCTCTGGGCTGTGGAGTAGGCTGGTCAAGGAGGGCAGGCCACAGATGGCAGCTACTCCAGGGAAGCTGTTAGGTTCTTTCTGCTGTGGAATGTTAATGTCTCTTGCCTGATGCTGCCTGCAGAGCCTGCTGCTTGTGTTCTGCCTTGGGGGTTGCACTGTTTGGGGCTCGCTGTCTGGGTGAATCTGCAGGGCTGCAACCTGAGCCACACAGCCTTTCAGGGTAGGCTCTGTATCCAGGGTGCTTTCCCTAAGACCTGGCCTCCCCAAATTTCCAGGTGCCCTGAGCTCCTGGGAGTGGGGCCAGGCAAAGGGGTTTATAACCTTGTTTTTGCTGGAAGTACCTGTCATCACGGAGGCTGCAGACCCCAAAGAGGAGAATGAACCCTCGTGGAAACCTCGTATTTCTTCTTCCTCAGAGACCTGAACACATTTCAGAGATAGGTCCCTGGACAGAGAGCTGGTCCCCTGCTTAGCCCCTGCTAAAACTTCACTCTCTTCAGTAAGCAAGCCCTTGGTACCCAAATGTACCCACAGATCCTTCCTGCTGGGTCTTGAGCATACTTTGATCCCACCTGCATCTGAGGCCTGGGCCTCCCTGCCCTCCAGCTTTACTAAATCTGGGCGTTTCTCCTCAGAGCCAGAACCCAGCTTGTCCGCCAGTCCCCTGAGTGGGGTTGCAAGCTCCCCAGTGGTTGAGACAGGCAGAGCATGGAACTCAGGGCCACGGCGAAGCCAGTTGATAATGCCCATAGTGATGGTGAGCTCAGTGTCACAGAGCTTCAGGAGGCACTCCTTGCCCTTCCAGGAGCTCTGCAAGAAGCCCTGGCTGAGCAGGTCTGGCCCTGGCCCTGAGGCCAAGTTTTCCTCTGCCCCCATGTGGAAGCTACATATGGATAGTGGTGCTTCCAGTGGTGGCTCTGACAGACTCTCAGACACACACAACTCGTCATCAAGGCTCTGGCCTACAGGGTCCTCACTGGGGTCATAGAAAAGCTCATAGAGGGCATCTCCACTATAGCTCTCCCGAGGGAAGGAGGCTGCAGGAGGGGCGGGGCTCACGGCTTCCTTCCTGTCCTCCTCAAGGCTAGGTGAAAAGGCATCATAGTAGCCCTCATCACTCGTGGACACAGACTCTGGCAGCTCGCTCTTGGGGGTACCTGTATCTATGGAGCTGGTTTTAGAACCACTGAGGAGGTCCCTGCAGGGACACAGAGGGAAATCAATGAGCCCAGCTGAATCCATCCTGGGCTGGGCTATGTCTGTTTCCTGAGGACCCTCCAGCCCTGGGCCCAGTAGAGCGCGCTGTTGTTGCCTCACAGAGTGATTCACACTGTCCCAGAACTTGGCAAAGTCAGACATGTCATTCTGGGCAGGAGACACCAGCTTTTCCAAGCTGCCCTGGAAAGGGCAACTGGAAACCTTGCTCCCAAGGGCCTGCAATGACCAGGCTGAGCTCTCCAGGCCCTCGTTTAGCTCCAGGGATGGCACTGAGCTTTCATCCGCAAAGATCTCCCCGCAGCCCGTAAGTGAGTCGAAGCTCTTGAGTGAAGCCACGTCCTCACACAGGGCCTTGCAGAAGTCGAAAGAGGAATCGGGCAAGAACTCACTGTCAGATAGGTCCTGGCACAAGCCATCTAGCCCCAATCCCTCCCCCATGGGGAAGAAGGCTTTGCCTCGCTGCCCTCCATCCTCTGACTGGCTCCTGGGGGAGGGCAGGTTCTTCCCCTTGGTTGCCAGTGAGGCCAAGTTCTCAGTCTTGTTTCTGTGAATGTGGAATAGGTTCTGAAAGCACTTCTTGGGTCTTTTCAGGGAAATCCTCTTCCTTGGGATGCTCTTAGCCACAGCTGGCACAAAAGGCATTTGGGGCACAAAGTGCCGGTAATCAATAATGCGCTGGCTACCAGAGGGTCCAGGGAAGCTGGAGCTGCCCACCAGAGGCCCTGTGGCTGTGACCATCCTGCCAGCCCCAGGCACACTGTTGTGAGTCTTGCTCTTCCATACCAGTTTGAAGGCGGCACCACAAAGATCTGTGGCACCACTTTCAGGGTCTCGCTGTGCCCCCTTTTTGGAGCACCTGTTATATCCGTGGGTACTGAGACTGACTTGGGGGCCTCTCTCACCATGGACCTGCTGCTGCCCTCCTGGTGAGACTGACCAGGGGCCTGCATCGTCCCTGGCTGGGGCAGCGGCTGCTGGGCCTGGGGACTTCTCACGAGTAATGTGCAGGCTGGATTTGATGAAAGTCTTTCCTCTCTTCAGCTCCATGCTTCAGCTCCAGTGTCTTTATCTGCTGTGGGGGAAAGCATGAGGCACTTAGTATCTATGGTTCTAGCCCAACCTGTTTACACAGTGGTGTTAGAGCTAAATTCTGACATCCAAGCTTGGGTCATCTTAGAAGTGGTGGAGAGAGAGATAGAAGCAGCCCACCCATGTTCACTATCTAAACTTTATAGACAACTGATGCTGAGAGAAGTTAAGTCACATGACTAAAGGCAATGGTAGGAACCCAAAATGAGAGCAGAAGGGTCTAGTGCTCTTACATCTGTGATCTCTTGACTCACCCAAGCATCTTCTCAGAGATGCCTGGCCAAATCAGACTCCCATTTCCAGGCCCAGGCACTCTACACATAGCACCACATCCTTATGGGGAAGTATCATGGTCCTTGTAAGTGAATGGAGCAGAGAATTAAATAAATACGTTACCTCCTTTGTCCAAGAGACAAAGTTCAAGGGGAAACCCAAGCCTGCCTCCTGGACTGGATAGAGTCGGCCATCAAACAGATGGGAAGACACATATACTGCCCACCAGTATATGTGTCTTTCCAAGGAGGCAAGACTCAATCTACAGAGATGCCATCAGGCAAGGCACAGCCAAGCATCTAATTGTACATGCAGAGGTTGACCACTGAGATGAGAGAGAGTATCATGATAGAAGGCCAAAGAGAGGAGGCAAGCATGAGGACAGGAACAGGCAGGTTGGATAGACACAGGACATCATGGGCTGAAAGAGTAGGTATGTGTCTCCTTTTGTGCACAGCCTAACTGAAAGATATTTATGCCTGGAGTGCCATCCAGAGAAGGTTTATGATGCCCAGTCTGATTTCAGTGGGAAAAGGTGGTGAGATCACTTGTTGATGTCTGTCTTGGGTGTGGAACTGAGGTGGTGAAAGAGCTAACAATTTTATTTGTACAGCTGAGGATTTTGGCCTTACCTTGAGATCAACAAAGAACTATGAAAGTTTTCTGAGTGAGTGGATGGAAACAATGGAATAAGAAATTGGTGGTCTAAGACCATTCACCTGACATCTGAGTAGAGAACAGCATAAATTAAGAGGAACACTATAAACAGAGAGGACTCAAAAGAGGCAGCTAAAATGGACTGAGGTGTAGAGATAAGGTCTAGATGGAGGCTGCAGTCATAAGCATAATAAAGAGGGGTCAAGTTATAGGGGTCTTTCAAAGGAAGAAACACCAGGATTCAGCAACTGAATACAGAAAGAGAAGCAGGCCGGAAGTCATGAACACTGAGGCCTGGATTCAAGCCATGAGAGTGGAACAATGAGAAGTGGGGGAAGACAAGAAAGTGGAGGACTGAGCAAAGATGAGAAAGGGGCCTGTGCTAACGGCTGGTTTGAGGGAGAGAAGAAAGGGTATAGTTTTCAACATGTTGCCTTTGGGGTGAATTTGGAGACCTACAAGACTGCACCAAAAAAAGGCAAGGCCTGGGAACCACACCAGCTCTCCTTCAATGCATCCTCATAGGCACCCAGCTCACATGCTCAGTCCACCCCAGTGTCTCCTCCTCTCCATGGCAGCGAGTGACCTACAGGTTGGTCCTCTGTCAATCTGGCCAGGGACAGATTAGAGAAGAGAATTTCAGGCTGGTTTCTTTGACTCTCCATGAGGACTGCTCCATAGGGAGCACCTGACTTCACGCCCTCTCAAGCCACAGCTTGTGAGGGAGGAATGAAGCAGGTGTGAAAGCACAAGGCTCTGCCAGCCTCCACACCTGTCACACCCACAGCCAAGGAAGCCTCATAGGTACCTCCAGAGAGCTGTTTGACAGCTATAAGGTGACCAGAGTCAACTCCAAAGTCTCTAAAATGCTTTGACATGAGGATCCAGAGGCAGGCAGAGAGCCTGCCTCACAGCCCAGTAGGCAACATTAAAGCCAAAAAGAATAAGGGGTGGCAAAACTGGCATTGCCGAGGTTAACCAGACCAAGCTGACTGATTTCCACCCTACTCCCCACCATGAACAGTGCTTCCTCTCTTGCAGCAGGACCCCTGGGACACTTTTAACGAAGGATGAGAAAAGGAACAGGCACTATGCCAGGGAAAGCCACAGAACCTGGGGTTGGCTTTGGCTAGAGCTCAGCTCTTAGTGAGAACATCCTGGTGAGTGTGACAGTGCTTCAAGCTGCCTTCTGCTTCCTGCCAGGTGGCATGTACCCAAATCTTTCCCACCCTGCACCTGTAGACCCCATTTCTGCTCCCCACAATCCTTGGCCCATAATTTTATAAGGGGCATAGTAGTAAAACCCAATTTTATATAGGAGAAATTAAGGTCCAGAAAAGTCAATGGATGCGCCCAGGTCACACAGATGGTAAGTGACAGAGATAGGATAAGAACCTATGCCTGTCTGATTGAGAGTCTATGCTACTGACCATGATAAATATTTTATGAATCAATAGCTCAAACTCCCCTTAATGGCAAATCTAAATTCAAATAATAAATGTGTTTTCATGGGGGATTTTTGAAAGCATAATGAAAATGAAGATTAAAAGCAAAAATATACCTAACATGAATTTAGAAAAATTGTAATTGAAGGCAATGTAATTTCTGTGGCAAGAAATTTTGGAGATATTCATTATGAGATCTCTATTGAACTTATTCTTTTCTGTTTTTGGAAAATATTTTTATTACCATGTGACATGGGTGAGAACCCCTTGAAGGATCAGAGGGCTCACTGCCCAAATGGAGACAGGTTAAACAGTCACCTTCCATGACAGTTTCAGGATCAGGGTGGGACTTATCTGGACAGCCAGATGTTAGCACCTGAGGGCAGAGGCCAAACATGACCAGGGTCTCAGCTGCAAAAATGCACATTCTGCTTTGTAATTCTGTAGCTAAGGGTCCCATCAGTGGAGTTCAGAATTAAACTATGTACCACATCTCTGCTCAAAAGACTAAGCAGACCTGTCTCTCTGGCTTGGTGCCTTCTTGTCTATAGCACTCAGTGATCACTGGCACCTCACTCCGGTCCTTACTTTGTCTTCTTGCTCCTCAGTGAGGGTGAATAATTCTCAAAGGTTCAAGACTCCAACTGTAGTAGATTAGAGTTACTAATTTAAATGAAGTATTTATGTTTTTTGAGACATCTTAACTATATAGTTACATCTAACTTTCCTAAATAAGATGCTGGGTGTGAAATTTTTAATTCAGCAATTTATGCACATCATTTTCTACAGTGCATCTCAGTGATGCCAAGACCCTGTATCTTTCATCTTTAAAATGAACTTGCATATTCCATGAGAACAGGGACCAAACCATGTATTTATTTAATCAAAAGATTCTGGAATGTAGTATTCAAACCAAGACCTAAAAGACAGCTGAAGACAACCAGAAAAAAGATATGGGGAGCATATTCCAGGCAAAGGGAACATCTGAGAAAAGGCCTTGAGGAGCAGGGAGGGATTACAGGTAAAGATCTAAAAGCAGAGCAGCAAGAATTGGGATGAGGCTGGGAAATGGGCAAGGCAGACTACACCTGGCCTGAGGTGTTAGGGAGGGTCTTGGCCTTTATCCTATGTGCCATGGGGAGCCAAACATGAAAAGTGAACGACATGGGCCAATTTTTAGTTTTAACAGGTTACTCCCACTGTGAGTATGGAAAGTAGGGGCAGGAGTGGAGACAGGAGTTCAGAATTGGAGCCAGAGCAGTGTTCAATGGAAAACGTGTGGTGGCAGAGATGTCCCACATGTATAAACCTTCCTTCTCAGTGCTTTACAAAGAAAATGCACATGCATATAGATATATTGAAAATTAAGCAAATCAGATAATTCTACTAGGTGCTTTTCTTCATGATGACTGACTTTAATCTCAACAGACTAGGATTCTCTTTTCCCTTTGGTAAGGCAATTCTGTGCTTTTCATTCCCTTTTTAACATGAAAGTGACTAGGTGGTTCATGGAGCAAAATAAAAACCTCGAGATACAGATATAATATAGAAACAATTTCAAGATATAAAAAAAAAATCGACTAATAGTTTTCGTATTTGCCATGCTTTCCCCTGCTCTGCCCCCAGCATCCAGGACAATCACAAGCAGTAAAATAAGAAGGGGTGGGTGGTGATAAGAAAGCAGAGGTATCTTCGATTCATGAAGTGAAGGTTATTGTAGGGAAGGAAAGCCTAAGTGTTCTAGGGTGGGTGTGGGGTAGGGAACAAAGCAGAAACAGAATCTGCAGTGAGCATAACCAATTCACCCAACCCCCACGCTAGGGAGACAAAGGGTCCTTTTCAGAGCTAAGGTTCTGGCCCATCTTTTCTAAAAGAGTCTTTGGGTGTTCCAGGCCTGCCCAAAGGACAACATACGTCTCCAGCCTTATCTGGTCTTTTCCAACTCCCGCAACAGCAACCGCAGACGGAGGGTTTCTTCGCTTCCCTAGCCCAGACCTAAAAGGTTCATCGCCCGCAGACTCCAGACCACAACCATCCGCGCAAGGCACCATGGGGTGAAGAGAGTGTAGACCCTAGGCCCTCCACTCACCCTCCCATTATGCAAAAGAAGGCACAAAAATTCCCAAATCACCGTTCCTCCTTCCCCCTAGCCTATATCTTCCGGGCCCTGGAGACTTACCTTTGGGGCGGGGAATGTCACAAGACACCGCCTCAGTCCGGCCAAGAGCCGCGCCCCAGGCCAAGCCGCGAGCTCAGCACCAAGGCCAGCTCCCGACGCCGCGCGCCACTGTGGGGTCGAGATTGGTACTCTCTCCGCCTCTGGCTGGGCTGGGGAGGGTTAATCTGCTGGAGGGCTACAGGGCGGGGCGAGCTCCGGCGGACAAGGAAGAGGTGGGGGGTGCCCTAGTTCAGAAGTGGGGGAGGTGAAGCTCAAGGGGCTGGAATGGAGGCTTCTCCAGAGGCTGCAGCCTCGGTCCACCGCTGCTGCTCTGTCCCCACTGGATCTCGCTTTGTTTTTGTTTCTCCGCGTATCTGTCTCTGATGTCTCTGCCTCCCCGCAGGGATGTAGTTTTGCATCCTTCA